GCACACGAATTCAGGAGAGGCGTTTCCCTGGATAGCTCTAGCTTTGGTTCCCAATAGGTTATATGGTTTTGTTTGGAGGATGTGGGACTTTGAGAGTAGCTGGCCCATAATCTCATAGGGAGTGGCATTAGTAGGAAGCATGACTTCACTGTAGCCTTGCTGGAGGAAGTGTGTCACTGTGAGGACAGGTTTTGAGGTTTCCTATGCTCAGGATGCCGCCCAGTGTCTAAGGCCGCTTCCTGTTGACTGCAAGTTGTAGGACTCCCAGCTCTTCCTCCAGCACATGTGCCTGCATGACGCCATGTTCCCCACCATGATGATAACGGAACTGGAAGCGAGCCCCTCAACTAAATGTTTTCCTTATAAGAGTTGCCATGGTCATGGTGTCCTTTCATGGCAATGGAAACTCTAACTGAGACAGGGGATTTTGCTTTCTTTTAGTGATTTATTTAAGACAGGGTCTCATGTATCCCAAGCTGAATTTACTATGTTGCTGAGTGTGATCTTGAACTTCTGATCTTCCTGCCGATACCTCCCAAGTGCTGGAGTTACAGGCATGAACCACCACATTACGTTTATGTGGTGCCGGAGATCAGGGCTTCATGCATGCTGGGCAAGAACTCTACCAACTGAGCCACATGCCGCTCAGGAGACTAGTTATTGGAGTCTTAGGCCTGAAGTAGCCTCTTCCAAGTGTCTTCCTCACATGGTCAGCAAGGTGTGGCAGCTAGCTGGTCCTAGGGATGAAAGATGAGAAAGGGGTAGAGCTCGTTTTCTCTTCATTAGTTCTGATCCTGGCTGGGTCATCTAGTTTCTTGCCCTTCCTTCAATCTTTTCCTTTTCTTTTTCTCTCTTTTGGTGGGGTTTGAGATATGTAGCCGTGGTTGGCTTCTAATGTAGCTAAGGGTGATCTTGAAATCCTGGTCTTCCTGCCTCCACCTCTACCTCCAAGGACTAGACTACAGGCATGTGGCAACAGTGTGTTTTTGTTCTTGCATTAAGGTCTTACTATGCAGGCTAGGCTGGCTTCAGGTTCATCATCCTCCAGCCTTGGCTTCCGCAGCACTGGGATTACAGTCATGAACAGCTAGCTTCACCTTCTGTTTGAGTAGTCAAACATGCCTGGCTTACTCCACAACAAGCAATCCAAGGGAGCAAGGCAGAAACCACAGACCTTTTAAGACCTCACCTTAAATGTCACACATCACCACTTCTGTATTCTATGAGTTACACAGGCCAGCACTAATTGTATGCAGAAGAGACACATGCAAGCACAGGACTAGTGGTGACTAGTGAGAGATGAAGACTGTTGGATGCTGGATGCCACCTGGTAGCTGACACCATAACCTATCTTTTTTTTTTTTTTGGTTTTGCGAGACAGGGTTTCTCTGTAGCTTTAGAGCCTGTCCTGGAACTCACTCTGTAAACCAGGCTGGCCTCGAGCTCACAGAGATCTGCCTGTCTCTGCCTCCAAAATGCTGGGATCAAAGGTGTGTGCCACCACCACCCAGCTTGACACCATAACCTTTGGAGGTATCTTTTTTTTTTTTTTTGAGTGAAATGGAGAGCCGGGGAAGGCATCTGAGAGGAAAAGTTAAGTGTATTGTGGTTTACATGCGGTAACTGGCTGCTATGGAAATGGAGAGGGAACGGAGGAAATGAATGAGGAGGCTACTGCAGGCCAGGAGAGGGATGGGCTTGGTGAAGTAGCGGTGAAGTTGATGAACACTGTGTACTCTGGACATAATTTGAAGAGAGCGATGGTAAGCTTTGCTGGTGGGCTGGGTGTGAGATGAGTCCAGGTGCTGGGGACTGCAGCTGTGGGGAGAGGGTTCACCTAGCGTGCACGAAGGCCTGAGTTCACCAGCACACAAACTACAACCCCAGCAACAGGGAGGTGGAGAAAGGAAGATGAGTTCAAGGTTTGGCCTGCAAGCCTGGTGACCTGAATTTGATTCATGGAAGCCCACGGGGGGAGTGGAGAACTGCAGAATTATGCCCTCTAACCTCCATACCCTCCATACAAGCGCCTGTCACATGCCTATAGTATGCATGGGCCTGCACTTACACAGATCTCTCTCTCTCTCTCTCTCTCTCTCTCTGTCTCTCTCTCCTACACACACACACACACACACACACACACACACACACACACACACACGCCTTAATAATAAAAAAGGAAAAAAAGTTCCAGCTATGTAATGAGTGTGGGATACACAAGGTTGTGTTGAAAAATCAAAGGAGAGCCGGTTGTGGTAGTGCACACAGGTAGGATTTGCTGAAGGAAATAAAATCAAAGGGGGTACAGAGAGGGAGCCATGAGTAAAGGGACCTTTAACCTGAGTTTGATCCCTAGTACCCAAATGGTGAGGGGAAAGTCAACTCTAGCAAGCTGTCCTCTGACCTCCGCACACATGACACGGCATCAGTTCCCATGAATAAATTTAAAATTTGAAAAAGATGACTTCAGGAGCTTTCCAAAAATGAGTCTGACACAGATCTTCCCATAAACGAGCTTACACCAGAGGAGAGATGAAACATTTATACAAGTAGCTATAGTGTGTGACACAATGCACTGCACTGCACTAACAAAAAAGCATTACCTTTAACGAGGAAGGCAGATGGAAGGTTCTAGAAATGGGCAGTGATGACGGTACAATAACAGGAATGTACTCAATGACACTGAACTTCCTGTCAGATCTCACGGAAACCCGGGACCAGGCACACTCAGTATCTGTGGCTCCTCCCAGCACTCCTCACCCCACCTCCTACCCCAAACCTCTCCAGCCCAGGGGCTGGGCTTTGCTTCCCTTCCCCCAGCTATATAAACCTGCCATTTTGGCCATGAGTGCTCTTGGTCTTTGGCTCCTCTCTTGATCCTCTTACACCCCCCTTCTCTTTCTCATCTCTTCTTCTCTTGCTCCCCTCCCCCTACAAGGTCTAGTTCAGTCTTGACCCTCCCAGATGCCTCTGACTGAACTCTCCCACAGTTACAATAAAGTCCTTCTCCTCAAACATACCTTGGAGCACTCACGTCCTCATTTTCATTCACTTACAATTGTTAAAATAAAATGGCTAAAATAGGAAATTTGTGTAGGTTTTACAAGAAAAGCAATGTTAGCTGACTGGGGTTAGTTGCTCAAACTCATAATCTCAGCACTCAAGAGGTTGTGGCAGAGGATTGCCTTGAGTCTGAGCCCAGCTCGGAATATGTATCTAGACAAGGCTACATAGCAGATTCTATAAAACACTTGAAATTCAAAGAATAAAAGAGAACAAAATGTGAAAAATGGAATCTTCAGGTAAGGGAATTAGAGAAGGCTCTTCTTCTGTTCAACTCTTTTCAAAAAATGACTGGAAGGCAGGCAACCTGGTAAGATCATGGGCATGGTAAGAAGTTTTCTTAGAAGCCACTATACATTGTCCTAGAGGAGAGTGAATGAAAAGCTAGGGGAATTTACACTTATCCTGGAGTCAGAATTGAAGGATTTATCTCAGCTTCACCCAAGCTAGACTGGGGGAAGGGGGGACAAGCCTAAGACCAGAGAAATCAAACTGGTTGATAGTCAGGCAGACTTGGAAGCAGAAAGATCAAGGGTTGAGTAACACAGATGAGCACAATTGACTTCAGCTTCTTTCAAATGAGGTGATAGCAGACCAACTTACTATAGGACAAAGGAGGGGAGCTTGAGGTGAATTGCGTTTCTTTTCAGACAGGGTCCCAAGCATCTTAGGCTGTGCTCAAACTTGCTACTAAGGATGACTCCTGACCCTTCTCTTGATGAATTTGAAGGTGGCTTGCTAAGACTCCCATCTAAAGAAAAAAAGGGGGAGGTTACTGATTTATATGTTGAAGTAGGAGTTCTCTGAGAAATGAGATAAATAGTTGCTTCTATTTTTGTTTTGTTGGAAGTGATGAGGTTTGAATCCCAGACCTTGCTAGACAAGTGCTCCACCAAAGAGTTACATCCAGTCTTTGTTTGTAATCCCTGTCATTGCAATAAGTGACATGTAATTCTCATAAGAGCACACCAGGGCCTAGGACACAGGTGCCTCAGTGGATTAAGCCATTGCCACCAAGCTTGAGGACCTGAATCCATCCCTGGATCACACATGGTGGGGGGGGGGGGTGGGAATGGGCTCTCCAAGTTGTCCCCTGACCTCACACAGTAAATCAAAGTATTATTTTAAAATAAGAAAGATGGCATTAGAAGAGATTATTGTGTTAGCAAAAGTTTAAGAACCAAAAATATTTTTCTTCTTTCCCAAGTTCCTTTTCATCAAGGGCAGCATTATTTAACCAGGCAGGTGATACGTATGATCTTTGAAATGATATTCAGAGTACATCTTACTACACTAGCCACTAAAAGCCCAAATTCCTGAAACCTAAATTCATGTTTGACAACCCTACAATCGTATTTGAATAACCTTGGGGCGGGATCCTCATTCTGTGTACGAAGACTTTCTGTGTTTCTTTTCCATCGTCGTTATTATTTCTTTTTTTCTCGTCACAAATCAAACATCTCTCACTCTTTTTGTGCCCCTTTCTTCTCATTCTTTTCATCTTTCTCTATTTGGAAACTACCGACTCTCATCTCAGTTCTCTTTTTTTATTAGTGGGTGATACTGGGATAATTAACTTCTCTGGGTCTCAGTTTCCCCGACAGAGAGCTTAATTAGGGTTGCCCTGCCTTTCAGGGTTTTCCAAATAACAAAGAATACGTTATACACCTAGTAGAGCCCCTGATATCCAGTCGCAATGCAGTATGTTCTGACTCTCCTCTCTCGGCTTTCTAATCCTCTTACCTGAATTCCCCCACTTCTCACCCTAAAGTCCAGATAAAGGCCGTGGGAAGAAAAAAAAGTCCTGGATACTAAAAGAGGAAACGCTGGAGTTGGGGGCGGGGACTGCGAGCTGACCTGTGCGCATGTGCAGCCGCCGGGTCAGGCTCTGGCTTGGAGCTGGGGAGGGGGGGTCGGGCCGCATAATGGGGCGGGCTGGGTATTTTCTGGGTGCCCCCTCCCGGCTCCGAGAAGCGGCGGGGCGTCGGTGGTCCCCCGAGCGGGCGCCACGCTAAGCGAGGGCCACCCGGCCCGAGCGGTAGGTTGGAAGATGGCGGAGCGGGAAAAGAAGGAGGGGCTTTGTCGGGCGGGAGCCCGGCTCCCCGGGGGAGGAGGGAAGGACATGGCCCGAGGCCAGAGGCTGGGCTGGCCCGGGAAGCTGGCGGACTGCTCCCGGTGGCCTTTTTTTTTTTTTTTTTTTAAGCCATGACGTGGACGCTCTTGGTTCCGGCCTCCGAGTTTTCTCCGAGGGGACCGTTCGGCCTGTGGAGGCCGAGGGAGGGAGACATAGCGACTTCCGTTTCCTTCTAGGCCGCGGCCCGCCGCCCAGCCGTGTTTTCCCCGACCCGGCTCGGGCTGCCCCTCCCCCGGGACCCTCCCCTCGGGAACGGTCGCTCGCGGCAGTTTGGACGGGCTCCCTTGGCGCGGTGGGTACAGCTCTTATGACTTTCCCGCCCTCCCCTCCTCTCCCCTCCTCTCCTCTCCTCTCCCCCTCCTCCTCCCCGCCCTCCTCCTCCTCCTCCCCCTCCCTTCCGCTTGGGCTAGCTCTGCCTAATTGGGCGGGAAGGCCAGGCCGCGCCCGCCCGCCCGGAATGCTTGCACTGGGCTCCATGTCCAAGGTTCCCGGGATTACCCCTGGAAGCCGTGGGTAGGGGTGGCTGGCTTCAAGCCTTCGGGTCAGCCTCCTTAAACTTCGTGACACCTAAGGTAAAGCTAGTTAAGTCATTTTAAAAGAGATACGGAGCAACCTCCCGCCCCCCCAATCTGATGCCTGTGGCATGTTTGGGTCACTATACTGTGTTTCTGGCCCTGGTATGTGAAACTAAAAGAAAGAGGGCCAAAGAGTTTCCAGAGGAGGAAATAGCTCATCAATCTTGCCACCCTTGGTCACTTCCCCAGCATTATTTCTGAAAGAAAAATCGCAAATTGACTTTCACTTTCATTATTTTTAATTCCAGTTTACTTGAATTGTGGGGGTGTCACTCTTTTAAGGGAGGGGAGTGGTGATTGCTGAAACTAAACTGTAGCTCTCTCCATCTCCGAAAAGCAAAACGTTTTCAAGGAAACTTTGGGAAAAACAAACCTATCAGATTTTAATAATCTACTACTTTACCTTCAAGTACAATTATGTCACTACATCTGTACCTTGATAATGAGTGTAGCTTTGCTTTTAAGGGCAATTATGTTACTACACCTATACCTTGGTAAGGAATGTATCATGACATCTGTGCCTTAATAATGAACGAGTCATAAATACTTTTTGTAAGACTGGAGATTGCTGTAGTATTTCTTCGTTCTTCTCATTTTCTCCTTAATACCTTTTTTTTCTTTGTAGCCAGTTCAAGAGAACACTGTTAGAGCCGGCCATCTTAGAAATAATTATGCCATTTGAGAGTTGGGAAGTAGCTTAGCCTATTCCTTGTGTTTTACAAAGCAGAAACTAAGGCTTAAGGTTTCAGAACTTGCTCAAGGTTAGATTGGAAGTCAGGTTTTGTGGCTCCCTAACCACATCACTCCTGTTGCTTCATAGAACCTCTAAGCACAAAAATCTAAGTACATTCTATTTACCATACCTACAGCATAATACTACTTTGTCCTGGTGCGCGCATCTTTTTCAGTGTACTGAACATGTATGTAAAGATTGTGCCTGGGATTGTTTTCCCCTATTAAGAATGGAGAACATCTTAGGCCAGACAGATTTATACCTAGAGACCCAGTAACATAAGTTTATATCTACTTGGATTGGGTCACGTGGCTCCTTGAAAGATAAACAGGAAAAATGATTAACACTGGTTACTTGTGAAGAAGAGGGCTGGAAAACTTCACTTTGCTTTTCTCCTGTGCCTTCAGTGTATGGATGTTTGAATGTTTTACTACAAACAAGTTTTGATTTTTTATTTAAAAGTTTTATGAAGCACACATAAATATAAGTATTTGGAATCGGTATTTATTATCATGTCTATTTATATATCAATAATTTATACTGTAAAATCCTGTGTGGCTTATGTTGTCTTTACAGAACAGGCTTGATTATTTGGGTATGTATGTTTCTATTTTGGTTTTTGCTTCTTGTTCCCCCATTCATGTGAAATGGTAAAAAGGATAGTCTACTATGGTAAGCTTCCTGATTATCAAATAGTGTAGCAAGCTATGGAATTCAGATGTCACATATGACATGTAGATAAATCTGAACCACAGGGCCTTTCTGGATTATAGTTATTTTTACAAAGGTTAAGCATGTACAAATTGTATTGGGATATGTAGCTCAGTGTGGTATAGTGAATACTTGCTTACCATGTACAAGGCTCTGGGTTTGATTTTTTAACATGTCAAAGAAAAGGTTAAAAGTTGACCGGAGTACATTATATAATTTGTTAAAAAATAACATAACCCGTTGTTTTGTACAATGAATACATGCCAGTAGAAGAAGGGGGAAAGTCAGCCAGACTTGGTGGCTTAATCTTAGCACTTTGTAATCAGTGCAGGAGAGCTGCAAATTCAAGTTCAGCCTGGGCTGCATAGGGAGACCCTGCTTCAAAAACAAAGTTGGATTGGAGAGATGGCTCAGTGTTTAAGCTTCCTGACTGTTCCTCCGGAGGACCTGGGTTCTATTCCCAGCAGTCACATGGTAGCTTGTAGCCAGCTGTAACTCCAGTTCCCCTTCAGCACTCCCTTTCGGCCTCCAAGGACACTGCATGCAAAACACCCATAAACATAAAATACTAAAATAAGCAGAGTCAGGACTCACACTTATAATCTCTACTTTTTATAGGAAGATAATCAAGAGTTCAAAGCCAGCTTGGGCTACATCAACCTCTGTACAAACAGACTCAGTACAATTTTTATATTGCATGGCATTATTTGGTATTTAAGTGTTTGCTTTTTGTGCCATCTTTACCAATCCTCATGCACATTATACAGTTTTAAAAATAGCAAATGTTTTGGGCTGGGGATAAAAGCTTCAAAGGGTTTGTAGTCATTCTCTAGAACTAAAAAAGGGTGTTCTCCGGTTATTGATAGGCAAATGACGAGCTAAAAGTCAAAAAAATAATTGCTCAGAGTTCTATTGTTTGTTATTAGCAGACTTTGAACTGGGGTCTACATTCTAGTCTAGATCATGTATAAATGTATTGCTTTAATTTATTGAGGCCAACTAAGGTAACAAAATAATGCTGGCAAAAGGTTAGTCAGACATTTCAGTTGGCAAGTGTTATAATTAATGTGCCAGTTAATTTAGTATAGCGCTTATAATTTTTGTTTGGTTTTTTTGAGACAGGGCTTCTCTGTAACAGCCCTAGCTGTCCTGGCTGTAGACCAGGCTGGCCTCTCAAACTCACAGAGATCCACCTGCCTCTGCCTCCTTCGTTCTGGAATTAAAGGCATGTGTCACCATCGACAAGCAGCACTTATGATTTTAATATAAACATCCCCTTAACTTTCACTGAGTGCATTAATTTATTTAGTATATCCTCTGTATTTAATGATTGGAGACTCCTAATGTACTTAATGAGGTTTCAGTTTTTGCTTGATTTAATAACTAAGTCTAGTAGCAGGTGCTAGCAGGAGGACAAAGGCTCTGTTTTAGAAAATAAACATTTATTGAGTACCTAGTATGTTCCAAAAAACTGCACGTTGTGTTAGGGGTCTAAAGATGAATTCATACCACATACAGTGATACACATTTGTAATTTTTGCACTTGGAAAAGTAAGACAAGAGGGTGACATGTTCCAGGACACCCTGGGCTGTATGTTGAGGCATCCCATCTCCGAAAGCACTAAAAGATGAATATGGTAAAGTGTCCTTGTTGTTTTGAGGCAGTAAGACTATGATAAGCTGCCAATTTTTAAATTTTATCTCTGGGGTAATCTGCTAATAGTATTATGTAACCTGTTAGCATTGTTTAAGGTCATTGTACATGTCCATTCCAGGACACAGACAGTATTAGAAAATGAGAAATTAATACTGAACTTAAATAATCACATACAGTGGGAAAATACCCTGAATGGGGGGCAGGAGTCTTGGCCTTATATCCGTTTAGCTCTGTGATTTCATCTCTTAGTATCTCCATGTTTGTTTTTTTACATGAAGATATGTTCCATTTAATTCAAAACATAGTGTTTTGAATATTTCAAATTAAAAGGGTGTGTTCTAGAAAATTTATGAAGTTCCAGGTAGGACAGAAAACTAAGGCACTTGTTATTCATTACTTTCTCGTTCAGGGTTTTGTTGTAATTCCTGTGCCCATAAAAGGCTTGCTTATTTTTGTTTTGTTTTGTTTTGTTTTTTTGAGACATGGTTTTTTGTGACTTTGGAGGCTATCCTGGAACTCACTCTTGTAGACCAGGCTGGTCTTGAACTCACAGAGATCTGCCTGCCTCTGCCTCCCAAGTGCTGGGACTAAAGGCGTGCAACACCAACACCTGGCCAAAAAAGGGCTTTCAAAATGTAATTTTTATTGGCTAACCTGTTTGTATGGAGTTGAACTCCATGATTCCAAAGATTCAGATTCAATTGTATTTTTAGTTGTCTCATTAATTTTTTTCCATTTTTTTATAACAGGGTTTCACTGTGTAACAGCCCTGGCTGTCCTGAAACTCATTCTGTAGACCAGGCTGGCCTTGAACTCACAGAGATCCACCTGCCTCCACCTCCTGAGTTCTGGGATTAAAGACTTGTGCCACTACCTGGCTCTTTTTTTTTTTTGTTTTTGTTTTTTTTGTTTTTTGAGACAGGGTTTCTCTGTAGCTTTGGAGGCTGTCCTGGAACTCACTTTGTAGACCAGGCTGGCCTCAAACTCACAGAGATCCTCCTGCCTCTGCCTCCCGAGTGCTGGGATTAAAGGCGTGTGCCACCAACGCCCGGCTCCCTTATTTTTTATTTTATGTTTTGAGGCAAGGTTTTGCTGTGTAGCCCATTTATATAATACCAGCTACTCTGCAGACTTAAGCAGAAGGATGTGTTTTTGGTTTTTTGTTTGTTTGTTTTCATTTTAATTGATCTTTGCAGAAGGATCTCTTGAGCTTGGGATTTTAAGAACAGCTCAGGAACAGTGAGACCATGCCCCCCCCCCGGGAAACAGGGTTTCTTTGTGTAACTTTGGAGTCTGTCCTAGAACTCAGGCTGTAGACCAGGCTGGCCTCAAACTCACAAAGATCCACCACTCTGCTGACAATGGCTTTTTTGTTTGTTTGATTTTTTGTTGTTGTTTGAGAGAGGGTTTCTCTGTGAAACAGTCCTGGCTGTCCTAGAAATCACAGAGATGCTCTTGCCTCTGCCTCCTTCATATTGGGCTTAAAGGCATGTGCCACCGCCACCGCCACCACCACCACCACCACCACCACCACCACCGGAGACCATGCCATTTTTTGAAGTCTTATAATAATATCAGTTACATTTTAAAGAGACAAGAAAAGATGGAAATAAACC